GAAATGTGGCTCTCCCCTCTGGGGATGACCAACCCCGCCATCCAGAACGACTTCAGCTACTACAGAAGGACCATCAGCCGAAATCGCATCAACAACCTGCAGGTGAGAGGAAAACAACTTTGCTCCCAGCTCAGGATGGGGGTCACAGGATTGGGGATGGTTCAGGGGGGTCACCCACCCCAATGGCCCCCATCATCCCCCTCCCTGCAGCTGGACGCAGAGAGCGAGGTGAACAACGAGATGGCCAACAGGATGTCCCTCTTCTATGCCGAGGCCACCCCCATGCTCAAAACGCTCAGCAATGCCACCACCAAGTTCGTTTCGGAGGTGAGTGAGGCCAGGGGGGACCCCCGGGGTGGGGGGAAGCCGCCCCCACTCCATCCCCAGCACCACGCAGGGGCCAGGAGGGGAAACAGCAGCCGGGCCCCGTTGGGTTTCAGAACAAGACCCTCCCGATCGAGGACACCACCGACTGCCTGAGCACCATGGCCTGCGTGTGCAGGGTGATGCTGGAGACCCCGTGAGTACCCCCTGCACGGGGAGAGGGGGGACATTTCGGCCCCTGTGCCCCCCGCCCTGGCTCAGCCGCCCCTCTCCCAATGCAGGGAGTACCGGAGCCGCTTCACCAACACCGAGACCCTGCTGTTCTGCATGCGGGTGATGGTCGGCGTCATCATCCTCTACGACCACGTCCACCCCGTGGGGGCCTTCGCGAAGACCTCCAAGATCGACGTGAGTGGCCGTGGGGTGCATGGAGGGGTCACGGCCATCCCAATGCAGCTGTGATGCTTGGGAGTCCCTGTACCTGGATGTCCCCTGTGGGGATGGCTCTGAGCTGGTCCAAGGCAGCGAGGAGGAGGATGGGGAGGAAGGGAAGCAGCCCCCATGGTGCATCCGAGCTCTCTCAGCCTCTCATTTCCCCCACCAGATGAAAGGCTGCATCAAAGTCTTGAAAGACCAACCCTCAACCAGCACCGAGGGGCTCCTGAACGCTCTGAGGTGAGATGAGGAACACGTGGGGGACAGAGCGTCCCCCGCCAGGGCTGTGGGACAGCAGCAGTGCAGGTCAGGGTGCTGTGGGGTGACAGTCCCCTCCCCATCCAGGTACACCACCCGGCACCTCAACGACGACACCACCTCCAAACAGATCCGG